GGTGACCAGCGCGCAATACTGCGCTTTCAAATAGGTACGAGAAAGAAAGAGATCGTGAAAATGAGATGGGGATATAATTGTAATGTAAGCGCTTAAAATTGCGCACCGCTTTAAATGAAAATATCTCGGCAACGGACGGTGGTATTGATTTGAAACCAAATACATTTTAAAGGGGAAAGTTTACAGCTCGGTTTCATGTAAATCAGGATATAATGCGCTTCGTATTTCAATACACCGTCACATGTTTGTAGTCAATATACCTTTAATGATGCCCCACCATAAGTAAGTACGTAAAAGCGGACATAAAGACCATTCGATTTGTATTCAAAATATTAAATACAGCGTTCAGACAAGTGACTGATAATATTAAACGTGACGTGAAAAAAAATGTAGTAATTATGGCACAAAGAATGGAAATCACTCAAGGAAATTATATTGAGAGTTCATCGAGAATTAATAACTCGCTCATTGTCAGACTGCGAAAAATCACGTCGTTGTCGGGTATAAGCTCATCGTTAAACCCATCCGGGTCGCGTCGCCGTCACGGCATAAATTAAAAAGCTCGATCATCGTTCGACTCACGTATCTCGATTAACCGAGGAGCCGAGGAATTTAATACGGCCCGTCTTCTCACCCGCTCGCAGATCAAATCGTTTAAATGAGACGTGGAGGAAGAAAGATCAAAAGTAGGGGCAAGGGATATGAGAATCTCGTCCATCTCTTTCCCGACGACGAAGAACGGCGGAAAATAATATGATTATCGAGCGCATTCCGTAGATCTGGAACAGCTATGGAGTACAAGGCTCGTCAAGGTGGAGCGGGCTCTCTTCTCTTATGTGGTACGTGTCTCAGAACAAAGGGGATGTTTCTCGGTAAATGGGGTGACGAGCAAGCTACGAAAGCGTAATACGCCCAGCAAAATCGAGACGGAAGGGTTGAGGCGGCGGCGAGGTGAGGGGTAGTGGGAACCTTATACGATAGAGCTCGCTGATACGGTTAATACCACGCGACACTCTGGAATGCGATTTTCCTCGACGACGACAACGACGACGAGAAGCCCGAGAAACAGCTACCTCGAAGGCGACGAGGAGGATGTGAGGAGCGAAGGCGAACGATAACTCGATAGCAACGGAAACGGCGACAACGCGACCGAGACAAATTATTCCGGCGACAAAGCGTGGGCTTAATCCGCATAATTGTTGCAAGCGATCTTCTATTTTCCAATGATGTTCAATTCAAACGCCTGAATTGAATGATTCCCTCTATTACCTTCGGGTGTGAAGGGATATGGGATACGTAGCGCGTGAAGTATTTAGTACATACACCGAGGAGAGATTACTAAAGAGTGGCGACGCCTGTGTTAACGCGCGGCCCGAAAAAAGGGCCTAAGAGGGCTCGAACCGGCAAGGTAAATTTATGAAATCCTACAGAATGACTGTTCCGGAGTGTACCGACCTTCAGGCTCGCCGATGCTTTTTTCCAGCACGATAGGTAATAAGTAACCGTAGAACGTTGATATTATCAATGTTATACCTGATTCGAGATTAGTACTTCGGAAAGAAAATAACTCGTTTTCAAATTTTGTCACACTTGTATTACATTATTTTCATTAGTGCACACCATATTTTGCATTTGAGTAAGAATAAAAGTAATTGGCAATTAATATCTTAATGAATATCAGTGTTTAATTGAGATTAATTTCTGAATTAATATTCGGAAAATCGGAAGTCATTGGAAATTGTAGTTCTTCATTTGTTAGCGTATCCAAGCCTAACTCGTGAATTCAGTTCGGACACTGATTTTAAG